TGATCCACCTGCCTTCTTTACCTATACACACACCTGGAAGGGATTTCAAATGTTCATGATGTACGAGGATTCTAAGCATACATCTTTAAATAATACCTCGGGTTAATGGCTTGCTACTGATTTTGGCATATCTAAAATACTGACGAGCTCGAATGAGCAAAGGTTCCCGGACGATAAACACGAAATAGTCTTCGCAAATACTGATCCATTTGTCGGGGAGGAAGAAGAAGCCTAATTTCGTTTCACCTTAACATAGGACCAACTAGTTTGGACTAATTTGATGTGTGAGGACATGAAGACAAGGGGAAAATAATGCAGAAAAACACGAATTAGGTCAGGAGTGGCAGTGGGCCTGATTTAACAGAAATCTTTTTTATCAACCAGTAGGTAATAGTCTAATGGCTGGACGCGATAACGGAAAAGGCAATTCCGTTGACGTTTGGTCACGCAAACAAGACGATTAATCCCTAAAAATATTTGATTCAAGGGGGCAGATAATGGCGTGCGGACGAAATTTGCGTACCTTTCGTGCGAGCTTGTCACGTCGGGCAGCCAGACTGCAACGCAAGGAGGCCTCTGCAACTTGTCGTTCCAACTGGCCGATTCTGTGCAAAAGAAGACGTTCGCGTAGGGAGGCTTCATCGCTATTGTTGTTGTTGATGGCTGCACTGTCAAAAGACGGCCGCTGCTGCTGCTGCCCACTGAGACTTCCACTGCTGTGGTTTGGCAGCACAAAAGTGGGGAGAGAAACGGTGCGCATATGCGGTTGACTGCTGTTCGGCGACTGTTTGTTGGTGGCTCGAAGAGTAGCGGTAGCAGGGAAGGCCTCCGAGGCGGCGGCGGCAGTGGCTGGGATGCCCGATGGGGGACAAAACTCCACATTGAGAGCTCCCGAGCTGGTGGATGGGGAGGGGAGAGACATGGAGCCAGTACAGAGGGAGTCCATATCCCCCTCTTCGTCACCCTCTGTCCTGCCCTTCAGTGAATCGGATCCAGACTAAGGTTTTACGGAAAAAAAGCAAAGGAGAAAGTCGTAAAGGTAGGGAACAAGTGCTTGTCAGGATCACAAAAATGACGTCTACACTGAAAACGCACGTTTAAGGAGGGGGCACGTGCAGACAGCAGTGAAGGCAGAGCGCCAGTCTGGGACTCCGGAGTCGTTTGTACCGCGACAGAATGAAGACCACCAGGAGCATGGTGGTATTGGTCTCGTTTGAGCTCGTTCAGCTGGGTTTCCAGGAGAGCAATGCGCTCGAGGAACTGCGCGGACTGGGAGACGAGCTTTAGAAGGGCAAAAGCAGAAAGTTTAAGAGGAAGCGCAGTGGTGGTGAGAAAGGGGACGCCGGAAATTAAAATATGCCAGTCTTCGCAAGCGTACTAACAAAGAGAAAGTTGTGGACGAGGTATAAAGTAACACAGAGAACTGAAATCTGTTCACGTTACTGAATCATACCGGCGGAAATGAAAGAAAAATAAGTTGCCTTTCTCGCAATCATCCTGCGAGATGTCTTTATATAGACTTACCAACGATGGCCAAAAAATTATAGAAAAAACATATACGGGTTCTACTTTTTAGCAAAATATCGTCAAATTGCACTGAATTAATCGTAAGAAAGGCTTCTAAGGGGAGGGGGAGGGATTTTTTTAGTTTCGAGCTGATTTGGTTGACGACTACAAACTGACTTCCTTTTCTCTATATTTAAGAGACTTCCGGATGTCAATCTCAGAGCTTAATCTCGAACATAAAAAACGTAGTTAACGTACTTGTATGTGTTTGGTTATTTTTTGGAGTGTAGAAATTCTAGCAGTGGCCCCAACCATCATGCAATACGCTCAGAAATCGAAAACACACAATTCTGAGGAATTTAAAATAAACAACTTATAGTGGTAGTGCGGGCTAAATCTCTCGTTTGAAGTCCTTCCCTAAAAAAAGTACCACAGCTCGCCTAAGCAAGCAATTTGTTTATGCTTGTATGCTAAAATTCCTTTGCTTCTAAAAGCTGTCTAGGTTTTCCCTGCCGAGTCAACTTTCCTGACAGCAAAGTTCCTGCAACTCCGAGAACGGATATAACTAGACGGCCGTAAAATAAAATGATATTTGGGCTGGTGGAGTTCCCCGTCAATATCACTTGATGACTGTTTTGGTGTATAAAATGTGTAAGACACCTGACGGTCCTATCCAGGTGCGACTCCGATGCATTCCGCTGCTCGCTAATTATTGTGGGTTAGGAGACATGCCAGGGCCTTCTATTCCCGCTATTTCACGCATCGACTACAAAAGCCTAAACCCAAGACGTTTATTATCAGGCACAACATAAACAGACAGTTATTTTGTGCATAACTTGCGTCAAAATGAGAAAATTTCTAGACATGACATGGCAGCATCCATAATATGCAAGGCTAAAGTGAAAATAATAAAAGTGGAACAAGCCTGTCGCGTCTATTAAAAGGACTGTCCTAAAATAGCCGCAATAGTAAATGGCCAAATAGGATAGGGCGCAGAGGACAGCCCTCCGACCATCAGGACCCAACAATTCCTCTATCACGGATATGCATATGTCCGACTATCGATTTCGATTATGTCCACCCTATGCTCCAAA